AGGCCAGCTAGCAATGGAGAGTCCATACTGACATTATGGTGTCTTATTTTTCGAACCGATTTTCCACAACCAAGGCAAGCCATGTTATGCCCCAGTAGTCTCTCATGTTCACCAGCCTCAGTATTCAATAATAAGAAGCGTGTTTGACAAATGAATGTCCCCAGAGGCAACTAAAAAAAAGATGCACTATTTGAAATCGCATACCATGATAAAACATAAAAAAACAGACTAAGTATTATATGTATATTCCGACTTCATACCTGGGTTTGAGCTGGTTAACCAACGTGAAAGTTTTGTTTGATGGTGTGCAGAAAGCGAGGATATAAGACGCCTCTGCAGCCTTTGTACGCCTATTCCGCAGTTGATGCACCTCGTCGTAATCCACAAAACAAATCCAAAACGCAAAACAGTTACTCCAGTATTATTAGCAAGGTTAACAAAAACACGCTGTCAAAAGTGCCAAACACGTTCCGTTTCGTTTAAGTTTTTTTTTTTTTGGGGAATTGGATAAAAATAAAACATAACATTATTATAATATGAGTATATTTTAAAATGCAACTAAAACCAATGAATACGGTTTCGTATGAATAAAATGTTCCTAGTGTAATGCATTTGTCGATCATATCACATGTTTTCTACGAGTGTAGTTTAAGACACGTGGTTTGGAATTGGAACGTCTTTTTATTTATCTTTCTCTATGGACTATTATGGCGAAACTTGACAAACGAACTTGATTTTGTTGCATTACTTTTACATTTTTTTAATAGTAATTGTCAAGTCTGGAGAGGCTAAAAACTACGTAATAATTCATATTTCTATTTATATTTTACAGTGTATTAATTTTGTTCGTGTACGTGAAATGTACTTTTTTGGCCATGTCCTTTAAACGATTTTTTTGATTTGAAATGCGATGAAAATGTAACACTAATCAATAAACAAATGACTACTTTTGGAAAAAGAACCCCATGTTTTTAAAACAAAATTAATTAGTCTTAGCCTAACAAAAACTTTTTTGATTTCAAATGGCCAGTACTGCAGAACGGCAATTTCATAGGTAAAGACCAAGTATTTATGTGTATGTAGTCTATGTACTCATATAAAGGTATTAGATAACAAAGTGAAACTATTAAGTCACATATCTATACTAACATTATGAGGAGTTATTTGTAAGATTGTATGTGGGGGTAATCTTTGGAAACGCTACCGCCCTGGTCGGATTTTCAAAATTCTTTCCCTGATAGATAGCTTTTTCTAAGTTCCTGAGTGCTATAGGCTATCAATTATACTTAGTTTGCGTATTTTAATCGAGATATCGCTTGAAACGCTTCTGTTTTTAAAATCCCGCCTCGAAGCCGCGGGCGGAAGCTAGTCTAAAATATAATAGCTAGAACTACCCACGTCTTGTTTTTATACGTATGTATAGGTTCGGTCAATTCTTAATTATGTCGTACAATCGATTGGTCATTGGGAAAAACTATGGTTTTTACTATAGTTAAAAATAACTATGTAGGCATATTCGTAAAATACCTTTATTATTTGGCCGGTTTATTCACGTGCCATGATTATTTATATTTATAAATAGATGAGTGAATCGATTTTTTGTTTATCGCTAGAAACTAAAAAAGTATTTAAACATGTTTTTTTTATATTTGAAATGCCGAGGAAGCGTGCCTGATGGTAAGCAATCAGCGCCGCCCATGGACATACACACCAGAGACGTTGCAAGTAAGTACGTTGCCGGCATTTTGGGGTTAAGGCACCGTATTCTCCACCGTGTCCTGTGGGTGGTCCTTACAATGACACACCCGGGCGTTTCCTCCAGCCGGGTCCGAAACAGGAACCTACAAACAGAAAGTGCGGACGCCATGGCGTCTCTCAAGCCACTCCTCAAATGGAACTTACCAAACTCATTCCGCCACGCATTCATTTGGCGCGGCAGATAATTTTCAATCCGGCAAGGAGGTTCGTCGCCTTCCTGGGGATCGTGCGATATCAGTGGATTATGCGAATGGCCATAAGGCTAGTTACTCGTTCCAAAACGTATTATCGAATACAGAAGAACGAGCAAGAAACTCCAAGTTCATTATATTATACAATTAAAACTAAATAGCTAAGCTTAATTTTAATTATTTAATTGTGTGTTGCCAATTCTGGACGTAGTAATAAAACTATGACGTACTACCACCCAGGAGACAAGACAAAACAATCGCTTATTATGCGATAAATGCATGGATATCAAAATAGACCTTATTACTACGCAATAAGCCTTGCCATATTTACTTTATTTCATCCATGTTGCCCATCTCAATGTAGTAATAATGTAGTCTATAAAAGTCGATGCTAATTTTATTTTGTAGTCGTTAATATATTATAGAACGAATACGTATGTGTCTTAAACAATTACATAAACACATCAATAAATTCTACAACTACTTACAACAATGTAACTTTAACAATGAATCCCTACAAGGGTACGATCGTACAATTTGTTGCTAATCTTGGTATAAGTAGAATCTTATTTACAAGACTTTTTTTGGGGGTGAAACTCATCAAACATATTTTCGATAGGAAGTGTCAGACTGTTACTGACTAATAACCATCCCGTTCCTTTTCCTGCTCCAGGCCAAGGCCCCGGTACTTTACTGAGCTTGGACGTAAATATGTGGAAGTCCCATATTATAGGTATATGTATCTCGCTGGGCCTAGGTGTGAAACTGTCGCACCCAACTAGTTTCAGACAGGGTTTTTTTTTTTTAAAACTTTGCCCCACCCTAGAATTTTCTCTTGTGTCGTGGATGCGTTTACAAATATACAAATTCACATACACAACACACCCAGACCCGAAACAACAATTTGTGGATCACACAAAGTGTTGAATCGAACCCGCGACACGTTGCACAGTAGCCAGTTGCCCAGCCACTGCGCCAACCGTGCAGTAAATTTGCGGGTGCAAGGTTGCGGGGCAAGCGCAATGAGATACTGCTGCCTCGGCCTAGAGCAGGAGAAGGAACGGGGTTTTTAGTCAGTAAGAGTCCGACTCTCCCTTTCGTCACACCTTGGGTGGCCTGGCCTTCGGTAACCTTATTCACACGGCGACAACATAACGTGAATGTTGTTTCACTCCAGTATTCTATGAGTCCTTGGTATAACTTCGGTTGAACTGGCAAATTCAGCCGAAGCATGACTCTCCCACTCTCACACCCTCACACACTTCACTCGCGAAAAAAGTCATTTGATAAATTTTCCCCTCACCCGACTAGCTTAAGAAACCATTAAAATATGTAACTTGTTTATTAAGTGATATCGCTTTACGATTCTAGTAGCTGTTTATTTCTAATGACAATTCAATTTCTGTGTGGGTCGCAGTTCTAACCTATATAACTTAACCATAGTGGTAACAACTTGGTTCTAATGACGATGATTAAATTCTTAGTCATTCTGATCGTTAGCTGCATAGATTATTAAGTTAAATGAAGTTGGCTGCGAGACATCTAAGATGCAGTTTGATGGAGTATTAGTTTAACTTCAATATCTATTTAAAAAAATAAAAAAATATTGCCAAGGTATGTGTTAGTCATAGATTTGTTTTTTGTTTTATGGCTTACGTTCTCAATCGATCTGACGAATTACCTGATGGTAAGTAATCGGTCCCGCCCTTGGACACTCGCAATGCCAAAGGAATTTCTACAAGTGCGTTGCTGGCCTCTTGTAGGTTATTCGGGATTTAGGGATATATAGGGGATTTGAAGATTGATGATAAAGGGGAAGTATTGGGCCTCTTTGATGCATATAAATAACCATATACCTAATGAAAACTGAATGTTTTTACTGAATAAAATTTTTACTCAAAAACCTAAACAAAAAAATGGACGAAGGTTTTCATAAATAATAAAAAAAAAACAAGAAATTCATAATTATTTATATTTACGTAAATATTTTAAAAATAAAATCTGTTTTTTTCAAATGTCCTAACCGACCTAGGTATTAACGTTGAATGAACTTGTATTTTTAAATTTTAATCTTTACTGATATAATTGAAAAATAAGGCTGTAAGAACCAAAAATATTAAGTACCTATTCTTCATTTCAAATTAACAATTTTATTTAAAGTTGTCGATTTATTTTTCCTATACCTTATATTTATAAGATTTAGTGCATAAGTGCGATTGCCTAATTATTTAATTGATTTATTTGTTCATAATGTATTGTTGTTCATACTTCTATTTTGTTATTATGGTTAATCTTTCGATGGTTCCGCCTTCTACATTTGGCAAAAAAACACTTGTTTTGGCTTTCTATGACCTTTGGCGTACGCTGTGCGATGTTTGTAAATATCGGCCCCAGGCACGCACTTTATTATATTGTCAGTTGTATAAGAGATTTGTACATAATAGTAGAAGCAAAAAAAGGAAACAACACATGGCATGCTTCAAATAATTTGCAATCGTGGTCCACCAGTTTGAAGATAAGAGTTATAAAGTGTTATGAAAAAAATACGAAATTTTCTTCCACCCTTGTTTGCGGAGAGGAATATTTTGTTAGGTAACACTTTAAAAAGGAAGGAGGCACTTGATGCTGGCGGATGAACACTGGCGGCACCACCATCTTCATAAAAGCTATCCTACTAATTTTATTAATGCGAAACTTTGCAAGTAAGTTAGGATGCGTTATTTTTTCACATAAACTACTGCATTGATTTAGATTAAATTTGACGCAGATAGATTATTAGTGAAGACACATGTGGTATTTTTCCCATTGACTTGAGCGAAGTCAGAAGTTTATTATTTATTATACCTAATAGTATACAATCGTATTTGTATAGTAATTATATTTTTTTTTCAACGCAACATTTATTTTAATAATGTACGCACGAAGTTTGAAGTACCTATCGCAATGCACATTGAGGTTGCAAAACTTTTTACTATGACGGAATTTTGGCAATATCCAATTTTCGTTTGAACGGTCAAAGAATTGCGATTGCGACAATCGCATTACCTCAGAATTTGCCGTGCGTATCATTCGTCAATCGTGTAGTGTGCGGTTGGCCTTAGAATTTAAAAAAAGAATGCATAGTTATGAACGCTTTAGATTTATTTATCAGTATACGGACAGTCACCAATGAATGAAGGTGATTTCGTTGTGCGGTTCTCATAAACTATTTGTTTACGATATTCTTGTTCTTTTTTTAAACACTATTAAAAAAGGTAAGGCGTTTCTTTATTACTTTTTAACCTTTTTATTTTTATTTCTTTCATTACATTTTTGTCAAAAAGCAGGGCGATGAATGTATAATAGAAAAAAAAGTAGCTTTTAAATTTGGAATCTACTTAATTCAATTTTCTCAAAAATGAAACTGATCCCTTACTATTTTTGTCTGAAACTATGAATAGGTAATATTCCGCCATACATACATAAAGCCATTTAGTTGAAATGTATTGAGTAATCATTATTTTCGTTATTAAAATCGTAGGTCATCAAGAAGAAGGTTAAAAATTTAAATTATTACCTACTAAATCAGGCCAAGTGTGGTAATGCTCTGTGCATATTTTATTGGGGATTAAAATAATAACCGTATTCTTATCATATTTCGTTCTTGTTTTTAAATAACAACCATTAAAATATTTTTTTATATAATGGCAGGCAGATTTTATTAATTTATAAAGATTTTAATTAAGCTTAAAGAATTTTATTAAAAAAATGATGGCCTATAAACATATTAAATTCTTTTACTAATCTTAAAACAGTTGATTAATTAATAAAAAAATAGCTTTGCTTAAAATTCAAGGCCTCTAGAATATTTAATTCATTATTTAAACAAGATATAAATACATTTAATTAGTATTTAATAGAAAAAAACATTTTAGGATACATATATTTTAATAAATAATGAAGTAGGCTGTATTTAATAGAAATTAACGCTAATAAAAACATATTAAAAAACCTAAATGGTTTAATGTGTTTTTATCACACTTTAATCAGGTCGACCTATAACAGACTAAGTCATAAAATCTAAGAATTAGAATTATACACAATTTGAATTCATGTATCTTCATGAAAATGTATTTAATTATACGTAGATCAGATGACAATACAATATTATGGCTAAAGTTTTCCATATAGGCTAAAGGATTTAGCAAACTGAAGTGGCAGTGGGCAGGACACGATGGTCGAAGAACCGATGACTGTTCAAAGTCAAAGTCAAAATCATTTATTCCAACTAAACCATAAATATGTACTTTTGCAACGTCGAAATAGAATAGTAGTCTGCCAGCCTGTTCGTCAGTGAAGCTAGGTGCCTGCCTTTTGGGTAGACGTTCTCTGGAGTGGAGACCACGTCTAGGCAAACGTAGTATAGGGCGCCCTCCATCCCGATATCCGCAGGGTGAATGGTAGTGGTTGGATGTGAAGGGCTGAACATTGTGCAGTACAATTGGGGAGGCCTATGTCCAGGACTCGACGGAAACAGGCTGATGATGATGATAACAATGTTTTGGAGTTGATTACCATTGCGTTGATTTAATGATGGAATTATAAGGTGACTGATGGAACCTTGTGTTGCTAGTAAACATATCGAGTTTGACCTCATAACCTCATTGGTAACGTTTTTCTCCCAATGACGAGGACATACTATGAGTAAAAACTTAATTTTATTGTTTTTTACTATACACTTTACTTATTGTTATGTTTATTCGATGTAAATAATATGCCCCCTAAAAATCGAGTGCGATATTTTTATTAATTTAGGTACCAATTCATGAAACATATTATATTATAAAGCTAAAGAATTTAATTAGTTTTCTAGAACATGCTACTCTTCGGAATAAATGGTTCGAATTGACCAATTATTTTTACGTTCGTTAGTCCATTTATCGAGGGAGGCTATTAGCTAATAAAAATTAGAAAAACTAGCTAGTCCATTCTCATATCATAGAGCTGAGAAGTTTGTCTGTTTGCTTGTTTGCGCTTATCTCCGGAATGGCTAGTTCGAATTGATCAAATTTTTTTTATGTTGTATACCTAATCATTACTACCTATCCGAACCAAACAGCTGGTGAAACCGCAACGCAGTAGCTAGTAATTTATTAAGTTTATTTTTTTTTATTTTATTATTGATCAATGTTTTTAATGAAGCTCCCACTTTAAATCAGTTGTGTAATGAGTCAGTATGTGAATCTGTAGGGTCTTATCAGTTTGATAGGCGAGATTGGCCGAATTTTTAAAAGTTGTGTTAAAATTTAGGTTTTTTATTTTATTCTTGCACAAATCGTTGACTCTGCTCTACATTACCCAAAAGCGACTGTTAGAGAATGCCTTTGGCACAAAGACCACCTTTCACATAAGTACATAATTTTTTGGGCAAAAGCTTATAAAAATAAAATAATTCATAAAAAGTTTTGAAAACTTTTTATTTATAACATACCTTTACAATAAACTCTATGTCATCTAAGTACTTAAATATTATATCTGGTGTTGTTTATTTTTTGAGTGGATATCAATATTTTCCGTTGTAGTAGTATGCATGTAGAAAATATGCACATCATTGTCGTTTTTATAAACACTTCGTGTATTCTTGCACTAACACATTGAGAAGTGGTTTCCTCAGAGAAATAATACTTTCAATAATACTTTCTTTTTTATTTTAGTCAACTTTACTTTCAGTCTAAAAAAATATCATCCATTAACCATTTGTTTTTAAACTGAAAGTAAAAAAAAAACAAGAAAAACATAAGTATAAAAAAAACTAAAAATAATATTTTCTTCAGCCTTGGTTGTTGGTACTTTGATTTCGTTATAATTTTAAATCAAGAAATTGAGTATTTATATACAATATTATTTCAGATGAGCCAAGTAAACGACAAGGATGTGGAGGCCATCAAGGAATGGTTATCCAAAGACCCTAATCTACCAAAAAACTTCGGTGAGTAAAAATACATAAGTTTTTTCAAGGTCGTATTAAATTAATGGATATATTATTATGTATCTGCGTAGTAAGGGTTTATTTGTACATAAGGAATTGACATGTTGTCTTTTCGGAGAACCTTTCGTTCGCAAGGTCTGTTTACCGAAAACTTAGCCCCTATGGCGTGTCAGGTTTCGGCGCGAAAGAGCCGGCTCAACAGGCCTGATGCCACGGCTTTGTTGAAAACTAGCAACTAACTAGACTAATTAAAGGCTCATTTTCAACGAAACCATTTTCTTGAAACAGTGCTCCTGTTTTATTATTGAAACTATTCATTAAATTTAAGGCTCGTTTACATTGTACCATACGGAGTGTTTAGTTAGACCAAGTCAATATTAATTTGTACGAGGCAAGAGACTTGCATCGTGTGTGTGGAGCTTTACGTTATATTTTGTGGGATGAGTGAAGTTTCTGGAGGTATGCGTTAGTATGGTAGATAACTCTCTTTGAAGGCGTCCATGATCAGTACTGATTACTTATTTATTATTAGCTGAATTGTCAGCTGGTGCCTCGAATCACTCGTATGCCCTGAAATAATCGCATATACAATAGTATACAGAAAGCCGAAGGAAAACATTGTAAGGAAATCTGTAAAAATGGTGTTGTACCGAATAAATGATTTTTCTTTCTTTCTTTCTAAAAACAATTGCTAATAAAAAAATTGAAATCTTCATTCCTGCGCAAGCAAGCAAGATGATGCTCATTCCATTACCGAGTGAGAAGAGCTTTTTCTCAGCAGGGGAAGAATCCACGGCTGATGATGATGATAAAAATAGGAGTATTAGTTCGAGACTCTGTATGTTACAGAAATCTTTATCGTTTTATCAACGAAAACAAATGAAATTAATAATATAAGTACTTAAGGGCTGAATTTTCAATAGTCAGTTAAATAATATCTGACGTATAAAATGTTTGCTGTCATTGTCTGTTACAAACATTCTGACGCGACAGCATCATAATTATTCCCCAGTAAAATTTTATGTAGATGTAACTATTGAAAAATCTGCTCTAAGTGAAATAGGTACATTTTTTTTATAAATATCTGTTTGACCAAGACACACCACTTATGTATGTAGGTAAGTCATTCAATGACAATCATGGCATTCATAATTTTCTTATTTTCTGTTTTTTGAGGTCATTCTAAATACATGGCGTTTGACCTCAATGTTGATAAATAAGTAGTTATCTATAGATACTAGCGATCCGCCCCGGCTTCGCGCGCATATAACTATTTAATGGTACTGTTTTTCTTCACTATTTATGTTATTATACATTATAAACCTTCCTTTTCAATAATTCTGTCTATTATAAAAAACGCAATATAATCCGTTGATATAGGGACAGAGAAAGCGACTTTGATTTATACTATGAAGTGAAGTTGATTATGATAAGGAATATGCGGGAGTCATTATCAAGATTCTCAAAGAATACCCTTTTCTTTTAGATATGTCGATAATTATTGAATTTTTCAAGTTTCCTACTGCTTCTATGGAGATGTATGTAGATATATTGATGTTTTTTACCTCTCTGGTCGGCATGGTCTAAACTACACGGTATAATATCATGTAAAGGCCATACATTTATTGAATCTAATTATTGCTTATGTATGTTCACTAAAATTATACAAGTAAATGAGCTTTTGAGCTATCAATTTATCCTAAACTTATAGTATTTTTGCAAATGGGCAATACTAGTAATTGCTAACATTAAAGAAAAAAAAATTTCATCCCCTTCCTAAAGATTGTCAACAACTGTAAGATTTTCGCGAAACGTTCAGCCCCGTAGAGCAAAACTTTGGAAAGATCTTCCGGCGGCGGCATTCCCGAACCGATACGATCTTCAAACCTTCAAGAAAAGTGTACTCCTTCTTAGAAGGTCGGCAACGCGCCTGTGACTTTTCTGGTGCTGCAAGTGTCCATTGGCGCCAATATTCCATAAAAAAGAGACAATAATAAGTACTCTGCAAACCCGCAACTCTAGTCCAGCAGTCGCGCTTGCAATACCTCAATCAACAACATCTCGGCCATAAATACCAAATACTTACTCTGTAATAATTTAAAAAATGTAACATTTAAATGACTCTTCAACTTATTTATATATTCATTTCCGAAATATTCAAATGACACGTGTTCTATGAATAACCAGTTGTACAACGATGTGGTTACTGGTTATCGATACTAGACAACCTTCAATAAAAAAAAATGGTATTAAAATAACATCTGAACTCGATAAAACAAAGTTCCCACGTGCAATGCGCACGTGCTTCGTCCAATTTTGAAAGTAAGTAGGTCAAAGAGGTCAAGAAATTAAGAATCTCTATATTAATTATTGTTTACATCAAGTTTGGGTAGTTTTATATTATTGGTGGCTGTGTAATTTATTATTTCCTAACTTCAAAGGGAGTTTTAAGGGGATGTTTAGTACTGCTTTATTTTTTGTTTTAGTAAAGGTTCACAAAAGAGGAATTTGAAAAAATACTGTCTAATGGCACTTCTGCCATGGTAATTCTAATTGCCAACTAAAATAAATAAATACTTATTAAGTAGTTCGATCCTGAGGATACAATTGGTCATTAAATATTACTAAATTATACAGCAACATACATAGGTCGTTCTATAGGTAAAACACAGATGGATATTGCGACAATGCATAATAAGAAATAACTGCTGTTGAATATTAAAATTAATTGTCATTGATGCGATACTGTCACCGCTTCCGACTATCGATGGGGCCCACTATAAAGACGTTGCTATCGGGTTGCGGCTAAGTCACCATATAGGTACCGATGTCCAGTATGAACCAGGAGTTGAAAAAGGTCTTTAGTCAGTGAATTTTATTCTTTTTTATAGTTAGTTTAATTCTTTTCACACTGGCACATAAATATCAGCGGCCGAACGTGATGTCAGACGATCGTGGTCTAACTCTCGCCTCATCCTCGGCGAGAGAAGTCATTTGATGATTTTCCCATCACATAAAAAAGACAATCGAGTTTAAGTCAACGCAATAAAAATAGTTCTCATGATATGATACCAAGTGTAAAGATTATATGGACCTTGTGGAATGTTAATGAGACAAATATAATCATACATAAGACCTATTTTTTTTGAATTTAATCGTGGTATTGGTTGACTTGGCTTCTTCCTTTTGTACAGTCTCTTTTTTGCCTTAACGGCATAAGTCAGCGCCTTCTACATTAAATTCACCGAGTAAAGTGGAAACTATTTTGTTTTTTTCTTGTACTCAAATATTTTCTTCTGTATTATTTCGTTGCGGGATACAAGACAGTCATTAATGTCCCTGGGACATGTCGGAATTCAGTGTTTCGGTGTTTTCACAGTTATTTCTACTTTAGATTGTGGCTTAAATGAGTGGCAGCGGTTTCACATCATCTTTCATCTTAAGAAGCGTTAAGATTCACTTTCTATAAAAAGAACATGACTAAGCAAAAAGAGATAGTTACATAAATTACTACGTAACACAATCTGCCTAAGCAGACGGCATTCACCTTCAGGGAATCATATTTTATGTGTGTGTTATGCAGCTTAGGTACTTACAACTTTAGATTTTAATGTTCATGTTAGATTAAGGTAACAAAAGGTTTATTTTCTAGAAAATATCTAAAGTATGGAGACTATGTAAGTGCTAAAAACTACGAAATTATTACTTGCCATTCTATGTAGTAAAACATTATGTACATTTTTATTTATCTTGGTATATAACAGGGCAGTGTTTGACGTAATGATTGGTATTCATGATGATATAATAATACTTATTTACTTAGTATACATACAATACCTCATATATTTGTATAGATTACTTCATTAAATAGAACCACTAAGTGTTTGACATATTTTCCTGTTAACGAAAAACAGGATTTAAGTACTTACTTGGAGGAAATGTACGTTTAGTATAAACTATCTCAACGTCTATTATTTCTTTTTTTTAATAGCACTAGCTTCTGCTATTGGTTTTGTCCGTAGGATAAAATGTTCTCCATGTGTTATTCCAGACTTAGAATAGCATATTTCCGCAGCAAATTTTATCCAAATTTATGTGCCTACATCACATTGACATAGGAAATATATGGACTTGAAATACCTACGAAAAAAAGGTGCCTACCTACAATCCAAAATGTCGCATAAGATGGCTGCCGTTGCTAGGGTTGTGCCGACTAAGTATTTAACGAGTATCGATACAATTTGAGTAAAAGTTCTACGTAGGTATAGTTTTAGGGATTAGCCAGCTGATTAACGGTATTTTTTATGGGAAATCATCTAATGTCATCTTCGGCCTTTTTCGGGACAGACCGTTACTGACTAAAATCAACTCCTGTTCCTACTTTGCCGTCGGCCTAGCTAGAGCCCGGAACCCGGGGTTAACTTGGTCTCTTGATTGGCTAATGATTTTCTCAAGTCGAATTTGTATTCATATAATTCTACGTAAAGCGTCTTTTAAAAAAATAGGACTGTGTTTATGAACAGCGTTTAATGGAATGGTGAAATAGAAAAAGATAGTGTTTGTTAAATGTTTATCTTTATATATGTGGAAAACCTGTGGGTATTTGTGAAGTGCTCGCGCACAATTTCGGCGCGTCTGATTAAGCGATGATATCTTCGAAACTACGTTAGCACAAAATAGATATGTAGTGAAGTCAATCTTATTGTATGTATCTCACTTTTTATTATTACGCTTGGTGGTCGCACTGGGATCGTCGCCAACGCCGCTCTGTCGCCCGTATAATTATAAAACATAATAATTTGAACTTCTACTTATGTAACTAAAACCAATACCAAAATACTGACGTCTTACTTTAGCGTTACACAAAACTGCGGAGACATCCATTGTTAAAATAGATTATTTAGTATAATATATGTTGAATTTTAAATGGGAGATTATATCGATACTTTTGTGAAATGGTACGTAACTATGCCATATTGACATATTATTGTAAACAACAA